ACAAACAAGGGCCTCGCTGCCTTTTTTTTTTTTTTTTTTTTCCCCCACAAATCAGTTTATAGCCCAGCAGGAAGACCTTTGTGGCCTGCACTGGTGAGCCTGGACCATGCTTTATGACCTATTAATTTATAATGTAGGAAACAGTATTTATTTCCTAATAATTTGTCAACTGATTCTGGATATTTTTGGCAGTATTCTTGATCTTTGCATAAGTTTTGATTCCTTTTATTGCAATATGTTAATGATAACAGAAGATAAATGTATCTTGTATATGTGTATATGTATATGTAAATACATATACAGACTTTTTTGTTTGTTTGTTTGTTTTTTGGTTTTGGAGAGTTTTTTTTGCCATAGGGCGCGTGCGCTCGCCAGACAGACAGAGAGACAGAAAGCGAGAACTCACCCCCTGGGGGGATGGCCACGCCACAATCCCTTTTCCATTCTCCTCTCAGGATCTTGGGCTCGCATGCACACGCGCCTGGCGTGAGTTTTAAGCTGCCGGGTCTGGGATGTGACCCGCGGTCGACTACGTGGAAGTCCAGCAACATAGCCATTACGCTAACTGCTGGTCCCCATATACAGACTTTTTAATAGTGAATGGGGAAATGGTTTCATCAAGATTTTTGTTTGATGTGTTATTGTCTATGTCTAGGAGCATGGTTATTTTCTAGGATTAAAGCTACCTTTTGTTAAAGTGGGGAAATGTTACTAAGTTTCATATGTGGTTTATATAACACATCTTTTATTTAACTTTTAGGTATATCAATGCTGCTATTAAATAGGCTAAAATCAATTGGGATAATGTTTGCAATTTTATTAACTTCTGTAAGCCTGGTATTAGAACACAAGATTAATAGTTATTTAAATACCTCTATTCCTTAAATTTTAAAATATTAATGGTCCTTCAAAATGTTTATGGAAAGATGGACTGAAAGTATATATTTATATTGGTGCAAAAAATTTTTGAAATCCACACCTGGTTTTTTCACATATGCATTTTCCACAAATGTTTTAAAGAACACTTTTATGTGCCTTTGAGACTGAGAATGGGCTGGCAGCAGGCTTTAGTAGATAGCAGTGTGCTGGCAAAGTTGATGGTAAACATAATTTTTTGTAGTTATGCTTTTACATTAAAATGAATCAAAGAATTTCCCACTCTCACATGGTCAGATCCTCTGCTGTATACTTTCGACCCTTCCTGGCACATCTATACTTTCTCTGCTATTTGGAGTAAATTGGCAACATTTAAAAAAATACTGCTTATGGATCATATATTATTTTAGTCTTATTTAAATAAGGACTTTAAAAGATGTAATCCAGACTACATGAGTCTGTGCAATGAAAAATTATACAAAATACTAACATTTAATTATAAATTATAAATATATTATTTTAGTCTTATTTAAATAAGGACTTTAAAAGATGTAATCCAGACTACATGAGTCTGTGCAATGAAAAATTATACAAAATACTAACATTTAATTATAAATTATAAATACAGAATACTAAAGGTTTTACTCCAATAATATGCTTTTATAAAAAAGAGTACAGAATTATAATAACTCTTAATAATTCAGTAGGCTATTAATAGGAGCCACTAGATGTATGTAAAAATGGAAGTCGGTGAATTTTGGTGTCATTTACCCATAAAGAAACAAACAATGGACTCGCTGCCTTTTTTTTTTTTTTTTTTTCCCCCACAAATCAGTTTATAGCCCAGCAGGAAGACCTTTGTGGCCTGCACTGGTGAGCCTGGACCATGCTTTATGACCTATTAATTTATAATGTAGGAAACAGTATTTATTTCCTAATAATTTGTCAACTGATTCTGGATATTTTTGGCAGTATTCTTGATCTTTGCATAAGTTTTGATTCCTTTTATTGCAATATGTTAATGATAACAGAAGATAAATGTATCTTGTATATGTGTATATGTATATGTAAATACATATACAGACTTTTTTGTTTGTTTGTTTGTTTTTTGGTTTTGGAGAGTTTTTTTTGCCATAGGGCGCGTGCGCTCGCCAGACAGACAGAGAGACAGAAAGCGAGAACTCACCCCCTGGGGGGATGGCCACGCCACAATCCCTTTTCCATTCTCCTCTCAGGATCTTGGGCTCGCATGCACACGCGCCTGGCGTGAGTTTTAAGCTGCCGGGTCTGGGATGTGAACCGCGGTCGACTACGTGGAAGTCCAGCAACATAGCCATTACGCTAACTGCTGGTCCCCATATACAGACTTTTTAATAGTGAATGGGGAAATGGTTTCATCAAGATTTTTGTTTGATGTGTTATTGTCTATGTCTAGGAGCATGGTTATTTTCTAGGATTAAAGCTACCTTTTGTTAAAGTGGGGAAATGTTACTAAGTTTCATATGTGGTTTATATAACACATCTTTTATTTAACTTTTAGGTATATCAATGCTGCTATTAAATAGGCTAAAATCAATTGGGATAATGTTTGCAATTTTATTAACTTCTGTAAGCCTGGTATTAGAACACAAGATTAATAGTTATTTAAATACCTCTATTCCTTAAATTTTAAAATATTAATGGTCCTTCAAAATGTTTATGGAAAGATGGACTGAAAGTATATATTTATATTGGTGCAAAAAATTTTTGAAATCCACACCTGGTTTTTTCACATATGCATTTTCCACAAATGTTTTAAAGAACACTTTTATGTGCCTTTGAGACTGAGAATGGGCTGGCAGCAGGCTTTAGTAGATAGCAGTGTGCTGGCAAAGTTGATGGTAAACATAATTTTTTGTAGTTATGCTTTTACATTAAAATGAATCAAAGAATTTCCCACTCTCACATGGTCAGATCCTCTGCTGTATACTTTCGACCCTTCCTGGCACATCTATACTTTCTCTGCTATTTGGAGTAAATTGGCAACATTTAAAAAAATACTGCTTATGGATCATATATTATTTTAGTCTTATTTAAATAAGGACTTTAAAAGATGTAATCCAGACTACATGAGTCTGTGCAATGAAAAATTATACAAAATACTAACATTTAATTATAAATTATAAATATATTATTAATATATTTAACTTAATTTATCTTAAGTTTAAAAACAGAAATGCATTTTTTTCTATGTTTATAAAAAACCAATTATAGATGGAAAGCCAGAAATTTTTAGCAGAAAACAGTGCTTCAGTATATATAAAGAAAGTGGAAGCTCGAATTAATGAAGAAATAGAACGGGTGATGCACTGCCTTGACAAATCAACTGAAGAGCCAATTGTAAAAGTGGTTGAAAGAGAACTCATCTCTAAGCATATGAAGACTATAGTAGAGATGGAGAATTCTGGGCTAGTACATATGTTGAAAAATGGAAAGACAGAAGGTAAGTGTTACCAACTGAAAAATAATTAAACTTTTATTTTACTTTATTGCTCATAATTTTGTTGATTCCCCTACAGTTAGATTGTGAATGTCAGTGTTGAAATTCTGGTGTATCATCACCATTGTTACTTTGATAGGATTTAATGATAAAGTCTCTTCTAAATGAAGATTTTTAGTTATTTTAGTGAATTAATTGGCTTTTTCCCTCTTAAGTCTCCTCCATTTATGTTTTCTTAATCCAGAAGATAACTTTAATGCTTTTGGTGAGATCAGTGAGCTCCTTATCTCTTCCTACACTTTGTCTTGTATCCCAGAGGGCTTGGGTGCTCTCTATTCCCACATTCTCTGCTGTAAATTTTGTGAATCTTTTAAACTCCATCTTAAAATTTCTAATGCTTTCCTTTGGGATTTAATTGTGATGAGAGTGCTGAAAATATAGAGACCAGCAGATGTCATAATTGTTATGTTGCTGGACTTCCACGTAGTCAACCGGGGTTTGAGTCCCAAAACTGGCAGCTTGAAACTCACTCTGGGGATGTGTGCATGTGTGGCTAAAATCCTCATAGGAGAATGGATTGCATCGTGGCCATCCCCTTTGGGGAGTAATTTCTTACTTTCTGTCTCTCTGGCGAGTGCCCGTGCCCATTAGCAAAAATCTCTCTTCAAAAAAAAAGTGCTGGAAATGCAGAAATACTTGTGTCTTTCATATTGATATATTTCAATAAATTGGTAGATTTGTTTTGGGAATTCAGAAGTTACAGATTAAAACAGGAAAAGGAGAATTATGTAAAAGTCAAAGTATGGCTTTAAGATAACTGTAGCATTTATTCTTTATGGCTGTTATCTTTATTTTTCTAAAAGACATTTGTGTGTGACAGATGTCTTAGAAGAAATTACAAGAAAAAGAATAACAATCATTTTGTCCTCTTTTTTAAGGTTTTACCGTAGGGTACCTGCACTCATCAGAAAGAGACAGAGAGAGACAGAGATGGAAAAAGAGAAATCACCCCCCCAGGGAGATAGCCACTCTGCAACCCCTTCTCTTCCATTCTCCTGTTGTGGTTCTGGGCACAAACACACAGGTGCCTGTGTGACTTTCAAGCTGCCAGGTCCAGGGTCAAATCATGGTCAGCCATGTGGGGGTCCAGCATCTCAGCCACTATACCGCCTGCTGGCCCCAAAGTGTCCTCATTTTTTATTACCAATCTTTGCTTTAAAACTTACACTTTATAAATCACCGATACTGTTTTAAAAAATAAACAAGATTACCCTTGTTATCCTGATTCCTAGATGATATCTTGGCAGTATTTTAGCTATTAACTTTTAGCAAAATACATATTTCCTATTGGGGTCTTGACTAGTAGGGGATGAAAAAGGTTTTTTATAGGAGAATCATAAAGAGAGGAGGATGCAGCCCACAGCAGCTTGGAAAACATGCTTTCAGTCTCCACATCCAGGACTCGAACCACTGTCAGCTACATGGGAGTCCAGTGACATCCTCATTGCATCATCTGCTAGTCCAAACATGTTTATTAAAAGAAGGAGGAAAAAGGTAACTTCTGGTATGTTTGCCATGTTTACTAAAACAATAGATTGGCAAACTTTTTAAAAAGGGTCAGATAGTAAATATTTTAGGCGGAGTTAGACTTTGTCATTTGCCAATTCTGACTCTTACCAACCTGTACCTTGAAATCACATACCTGTTTTTTCACTGCTTATGTTATAGGGAGAGCTGTTTACCTTTGACAAAATAAGCTGCTTGTTTTGAAATGAATTGAATTCATTAAGTTGTAATAGTTCTAGTGTTTTCAGCTTGTTAGAGTTAGCAGGTGTTTTTCTTTCGTTATTTAATTTTGTTCATAAAAAAAGTAATAGTGGGGCTGGCAAGTGGCGTGGTGGTTAAGGGTGCTGGACTCCCATGTGACCGACTGCAGTTTGAGTCCTGGACCTGGCAGCTTGCTTTCTCACTTTCTTTCTCTCTCTCTCTCTCTCTCTCTCTGACCCTCTCTGGTCAATTAATATAAATAAATAATGATAAAATAATAAAAATCTTTAATTTTAAAAAAGTGACAGTATATGACTAAATGCAGACTAATTCTTTTCAGGATACTGATAAATTTCCTTCTAGTATTATAAATTGTACAGATGTCATATTTCAATTATTAAATTTCAGCAGCTTTTGTACAAATGTTTGAAAACACAACTGTTAGTTTATATTTTGATTCATGACAGTGAGTTGTGTATATACAAAGAGGGTCTAGTCACACTAACGTTCTCTTTGCCCAGCCCTCTAACTTCTCAGGGTCTTGATCACACACATGTGCCAGTATTACCATCAGACATTTCCTAGCTCCTAATTTCTAGCCCATTTAATCATCCCTCCTCACACATCGGCAAGGTAGGTAAGAAAGCATTAATTCACTACTCGAGTAGTACATCAAACAATTTCCTGATGCTCATTTTGTTTAAGTACGTTTTTCATAAAGTTATAAACTGCCATAGGACCTGAACCCATGGTCAACTATATGGTTTCCAGCACTGCAGTTCATTTTGCTCTGGACTGTGCCACCTGATTGAGTCTAATATTTTCCTAATATTTTACCGTTTTTAAGTTTTCTTGAAGGTCCTTCTGTCGCTGCTAAATGCCTTTGCTTCTGCTAAAAAAGTGAATGCCATCCTTAAAGGTGCAAGTTGACTATACATCAGAGAGAGAAATTAAAAACAAACATTCATAATCAGATCATGTAGAAATGATCCATGTTGGGCGTATAGAATTTTTTAAATCAATTTCTTGGGTTCGAGAGCTGTAGAATACATAGCTACTAACTTTATAAATTGTCCCTGGTTATTCTGCATGTCTAGAAGCTTCTTACCAGGGTGGTGGAGTTTGGTTCCATTAACAAGTTTCTGTAGGCTATACAGATTTATTAGAATGACATTTCCTAATTGTCTTGTATGGTAGAAACTGGTTATTTTTAAGGATGCTGGATTTTACTGCTGTGAGGATTTTTGTCTTTATTGTCACATTTGTAATGCTAATACTTACATGTACGTTGTCTGTGCTGCAGAAAAAGGAAGCTGTATGTGGCACAGATTCATCTTAAAACTGTATGTTTCAAACTGTGGCTCTTGTTCTTGGTATCTTAAGGCATTTTGTCTTTCATTGTACTTAGACAACACATTGTCTGTTTAAGATGTGGCTGGAATTGTAGAGGATGTAGCTAAAACAGTAATAAACGGTGACGGTTAAAATGTAAAAATAAGGATTTGGGTGGTGGCGCTATAGGAGCTGCACTGGTAAAACTCGATGCTCTGCAGCGCTGATCACATGGGTAGGGTCCAGGTTCACATTCAGAGGCTCTCTGAGAATGAGGGGCATGAACACATCCATGATCCAGGCCTGACCGAAGCCGGGGGTGGTTCTCGGTGTCAGGATCCCATTGGGGTTGTACACGTTCTCTCTCAGTGTGTGTGTGTGTCTCTCTCTCTCTCTCATATACGTTTATGGAATCAAAAATAAGTTTTTTAAAATTGTGAAGGAATAAGGTATCTTAGGTAAATGTTACAGTCATCTCTCATCTCTGCTGTTAATAGCAAGAAATTAGCCATAGACGGTAACACAAATAACTAAGCTTGATAGTGTTTTCTTTAAAACTTTATGTGCTCTAAAATGTGTTTTTCACATAAATTTCACATCACTGAATGCTGTTCTTTTCAGTTTTTCCCATTTAAAAGTGTGAAAACAATTCTTATTTTGTGGGCTTATACCAAAACAGGCAGCATTTAGCCCAAGGGCTGTAATTTGGTGACCTGTGATCTGAATGGTCCCTGGTGACTAGGACTTTATGAAAAATGTTTCCCCTTGCTTAAACAAAATGAGTACCAGTAAATATTTAATGTACTATTCAAGTATTGAGTTAATGTTTTCTTACCTATCTTGGGGGTGTGTGAGGAAGGATGATTAAATGGGCTAGAGATTAGGAGCTATGAAAGACAGTTGGACATGCCTGGATTAGAACACCTCTGTAACCTGCATGGAGAATTGTGTGTAGGGTGTTAAGAATGTCTAACCTAGCAAGCACTCAGTAAATGTATGAATGAAGGACTGTCAGAATAGCTACTACCATAATAGTTCTCTATTTAGTAATGTTTTCAGAAAGCAAGTAGCTTTCTGTGATTCTAAATTAAACTTTTAAGTTTCGGCTTCAATTTTTTGACCTTCGACTAGAAACCTAACTGCAGAAATGTCTTAAATGTGGTAGATGCTGCTCTTGAGCAGTGTGTGGGGAGTATGTCAGAGGCACAGCTCACGATTATGAAGCCAAATTCTCATAACTGAAAGTGAAAAACAGTGTTTTCACTGCGAATGGAAGATTAATTTGATTAGTTGTGGTGCGCAGAGTACTCTGAAATTAAGTTCAAATGGTATCTCATCTTTATTGTTTTATTAACTATATACAGAAATAATAACTTTTAACTTTTGAATGCCCAAGATTTTTCACTTATTCTTTCACATTCTATACCACCCCATGTGTAAATAACAATAACCTAAAAATAGTTGTACTTTTAAAATTTTTTCTTTTTTAGTTTTTTGTTATAGGGCATGTGCATGCTTGTGGGACAAGAGAAAGTGAGAAAGCAACCCCCTAGAAGATGATCATGCCACAATCTCTTCTCTGTTCTCCTCTCAGGATCTTGGGCAAGTTGCACACGTGTGCCCAGCCTCCCAGGCCTGAGACTCAAAACACAGTTAGCCATGTGGGATTCAGCTACCTTAACCACCATGCCACTGACTGACCCGGTCATTGGTTATTTAAGAATGGGGATGTGTTCCGAGAAGTGTCTCATTTGGCAGTTGCATTGTGTGAGATTCAAGTGTTCTTAAACAACTGCAGATGGTATAGTCTTCTACAAATGGTATATATTTTTTAAATTGTCAGAGGGTATGTGTACTCACCAGAGAGAAGGTGGGATGGACAAAAGTACCTTCTGGCGTGGGGCATGGTCACAGTGCAATCCCATCTCTCTCCTTTATTTATTATAATGTTTGGGCATCTTGTCTTCCACATAACTTAAAATTTGCTGAGACATTTTATTTATGCTTCCAGAGCATCTTATCTAAAGCTGTGTTTCATAAATCACAGTAATGGGGCCAGCCATTAATGGACCTACTAATTGTTTTTTCCATTTTGCTAGTTTTAAAAGTCATGTGGTCAGCACTGATGGTAATGGAGAAATAAACTTTCTCTAAGTATTGAAGCATGAACATAGATTTACATTTTTTTCTTAATCTTTAATGTAGCCAATTTGTGTTTTCTTTCTGATTACAGATCTTGCTTGCATGTACAAGCTATTTAGTCGTGTGCCAAATGGTTTGAAAACAATGTGTGAGTGTATGAGTTCCTATTTGAGGGAGCAAGGTAAAGCTCTTGTTTCTGAGGAAGGAGAAGGAAAGAACCCTGTCGACTATATCCAGGTAATAATCAGAATATTTTTTATGATGAAGTCATTTTGACAAATGCTAAAAAGATTGCTTTTATTAAGCTGTGTATTATGTACTTTCAAGTTAATTGTCCCAGCAGTTAAAGCAGTGTATGTAATTACCCTTAATATTTTAGAATTTTGCAGAGTGTGCGTATTTATAGCAGGGAACCAAACTCAGCAGTTGTTCTTCAGTTATTAAACCCTCTAATGAAGAAAGACTGTGATTAAATAGTCTCAGAATTAAAAATGAGCAATTTTTTGTATGCCCTGGTGTTTGTATATGTTAGTATATTAGAAAAAAAAGCCTCTTAAATACTGTTTCAAGATGTTTTCAAGCAGCATATAAATAAATTATGCTACAAGTCATTTGTATTTTAATATAAATCATCAGATCTTTTAATACATTTTAAAGCTAACTTTTTTCTGTGGCTGACTTGTTTGGTCAGAACAGAAGAAAGTGCGTAAAAGCAGTGCACGGGTTCTTGGTTTATCTTCATTATGATTATGTACATAAGGAAGATAGAACACTTTTGTCATCACTGATATTCCTAATGTGAACTAAGTATAGGCTTGAACAGACACAATCTGTGAACTGAGTATACACATTTATTATCAGCAAAGTCAAGATGACAGATAGGGTCATCATTTGTAGAAAAATTATTGTAATTCCCAAATTTCTTCATTTTTTATTTGTAAGGGCTTATTGGATCTGAAGAGCAGGTTTGATCGCTTTCTTCAGGAGTCATTCAATAATGACCGGCTCTTTAAACAGACTATTGCTGGTGACTTTGAGTATTTTCTCAACCTCAACTCCAGGTCTCCTGAATACCTCTCATTATTTATTGATGATAAACTGAAAAAGGGAGTCAAAGGGGTAAGTAGTAACGTATTTGCAAATACATTAAATTTTACTTACAGAGGTAAAATTATATTCAAAGTTAAATAATATGAAAGTAGGAAATTACATAGAAGTAAAGTTAAGCCTAGCCCTTGACTGTTCTTAAGCATGTGCTATGATCTGTTAAAAAGTATTAAAGTACTTGGAACCAGCAGTTAGCATAATGGCTATGTCACTAGACTCCCACGTAGTCAACCGCGGTTCGAGTCCCAGACCCGGTGGCTTAAACTCACGCCGGGTGCGTGCGTGCCCAAGATCCAAGAGGAGAATGGAGGAGAAGGGATTGCAGCGTGGCCATCCCCCCTGGGGTTGACTTCTTGCTTTCTGTCTCTCTGTCTGTCTCTGTCTGTCTAGCGAATGCACGTGCCCTATAGCAAAAACCTCTCCAAAAAAAAAAGTATGAAAATACTTGACATGATCAGAAGTACTTTGACATCTCAGTTAATGTTTAATTTGTATCAGAAACAAGCAAGATAAACTGTAGGTGTTAAATTGTCATTTTTACAACTGTGAGAATTAGGTATGTATGCTCCAGATACCAAAGAACTAGAAAATAATGCTCTAGTAGTATAGAACATTGTTTGCTTTCATCTGGTTCTGGAAGTTCTATATGAAACAATACTTGGATATAAAGAATTTAAAGGCATAAATAGAAGAGCAGCTCTCAGAAAATAGTTTGAAAGCATATTCTAAAGCCCAAGGTCAAGCTTTTATGATGTATCTTGGCCCTTGGAAATGCACTATAGCATAGAAAATCAAATTGAGCATATTTTGATAACATATGAATTGTTCTGGGAATTCGTGAAACAAGGGGAAAGCAACACATAGTCACAGGTTTTCAGGGAAGTAGCTAATAAGAAAGAAACAAAAAGACCTTCAATAAGGAGCAAAGAGTAGGAAAGACTGTCTCCATTAAAATATTTCTCTTTGTGACTAATATTTCATCTGTCCTCAGTTATCCCTTCATCCAGCCCTGCTTGACTACATGCCTCCTCTTCAG